GTTTGCAGTTAGTTAATCCAAGGATTTCTTCCAGTTATTTCTCAAAAGAATTGGCATTAGCTTCAACAACATGTCTGGGTAGTTTGAACCATAACTCCCACAACAACTTGAGTAAAGAAGTGCCTCTTGTCCTTGGTCTTAAATGTTCTTCCACATAATTTCCACTTTTGCTCTCTGGTTCCTGTTTCACTGCTCAAATTGATCTAATTCACTGGATTGAATTTGTCAATGCCTTTGAGAATTCTGAATACTGGTATCAAGTCCCTTCATAATCTTCTCTGTTCAGGACTAAAAAGGTTCAGTTCTTTCAGCCTGTCTGTGAAGGAAATTCCCTTAAGCCTTGAAATGTATCTGGTTCCTCTTGTCTGAACAGATTCCAGTGCAGCAATATCTTTTCCGTAATCTGATGACCACAATTGTACAAAATAAGATACAGTAAATGAGACCATACCAGTGCATTATGCAATTGTAAAATAGCATCCCTTGATTGAAATTCTGATGTTTTAACTATATATCTTAGCATTTTCTTTGCCTTTTAATTACTTCATATATTTCTAGAAGATGTACAGTAAATGCCATGTCAGCGTAAACTGCTAAGTGTTTTTCACCAAATAATAGTTCTGGAACCTGAAACATGTTTAATCAGAATATTAAGTATATATCAACAGCATTTTAATTAATATACAGCACCAGAACAGACTTGATTTCTCCTGCAGAACAATGGAAAAAATTGTCCCTTATAAGGCATTATATTTTTTCCAGCTCACTAAGCCATTCTGGCTGGTACAATATGCTTAAAATAGATATAAAATTCCCTTGAAAACTGATGCCCTGTCTTAAAATTTGACTTAATTAAAAGAATCCAAAGGCATTGTATGTGAATAATCACAACAGCAGTGCATAAATGTTGCTAAACACTACATCATAAGAAATATTTAAAGATCTAACTCAACCCAAACATATATTCTTGACACCGTAGTGAATTTGTACCTGTGGTGATTTCTACTGACACATTGCTGTCACACCACTGCTGCTATGATCAGTGGGAATCTTTGTAACTCTGGTAACTTGGCAATAAAATAATTTATATTGTGGGTACCGTAGCATTGTGGTCAGAACCACTGCCCATTTCCTGTCTGAAACAGGTGCCAAACAATTACAAGCTGTCTCTTTCAGACCTCATATGCTTAGGAGTGTTCCAAATTAACGTTTAAAACCCTAGCAATGACTAAAAGAATGAAAAAAGCACAAGAATTAAGATAGTTATTTTTAACAGAAACATATTAGAAAGTGGATCCTTGATTTCTCTGAAATAAAAAATAAAGATGGGTATCACACCATTTATTTGTAAAGTTTAATACTGAGACCTTTATCAGTATACAGTATTCAATATAATAGTAGTATTACAATGTATCCATTATTTTATTTTACTCTGAAGCATAACTGTCTCAGAATGTATCACTTTATTTTATTATTATATTTGCCTGTTTTCTCAATGCATTTGTTAGACTGCTTATGATGCATCACCCCGACAGATCAACCTAAATAAACCTTGTACATACCGTATTTGCAGCTTTTTGGAAAAACTTCAAAAACACTGCTGCATTTCTCCAAGAACGTAATTAATCATATCATAAATGAAATACCGTGGACTATTTTCTTTCACTTTCTTTCATAGTTTTTAATCCAAATAAAGACAATACATTATAATCTGCATTATTACAATTTAGTAGTGAATGCCTTTCCAGCTGTTCTAGAAAGACAACGCACTATTAAGACGGCAACCCATCAGTCTTGTATAACATGTCCATGCAGAGACCAGTTTCAGAAAAAAAGGTCCAAATAAGCATTAGCTACTGTAAGTGTGAATTTAGAAAGACCAAAAAACCTTGAAACCTTGAACTGAGCTAAAGCATGTACGTACAGAAGAACAATGCAACCTGGGACCACATGACTGTCAAAATTTATAGGTAGATGTCAAAAACAAGGTCAAAGCTGTGATTACTGCCAAAGGTGGATCTATCTATACCCTGAACTTAAAAGCTGTTTCACATTCCCCTGATACCATTCCCATTGATACCACAGAAGAAACACAAAATGCCAACACCCCAAACCTGTACAGTACTTTCAAAGATCAATTGTTACAGTAATTCACGGTTCAATTTTGAGAAAATTTTTGAATATGAATTTCTAACATTTCAAGGCCAAATATCAGCCCTTTAGGACTAAAAACGTGTAAAATTTCAGTACATGTATGTCATGGAATAAGTTCATCTACTGTTGTTTTCTAATAATAATACCTACAACTACTGATTTAAATCACAACAGTGCCTAGACAGACTCTGATATCATTAAACTTGCTTCAGCAGTTTGCTTTTTAGTTCAAGTGCCTTAATCTAGCTTTGTAGTTATTTTGGAAAGTACTATTGGAAGTGGTTATGTAGTTAAAGTATAGACTTCATGTTAAAAATATAAAAACCGAGATGCAAGGTGTGTAATATTATAGTCACACAAAGCACCAGGGCCCAAACTTTCAGAAACTGTTATCCTCAACAAAAAACAATGCTAAATTCTGGATAACTATATTACCACAGGAGTTTGAGAGTGCTCTATAAGTAATACAAAGGCGATGAGGTTCTTTGGCAGCACAATGGATCAGTGGTTAAGGTTCTACACTTACTGTATAACTGGAAGGTTGTGGATTTAAATCTCAGGTGAGGCTCTGCTGTTATGATTTTGAACAAGGTACTTCACTCAAATTGGTTCATTAAAATACACAGCTGTACTAAGGGTTGCAAATGTTAAGTTGCTTTGGATAAATTTGCCAAATAAATTAGTAGCTAGTAATCTTTGAATGACAGTCAAATTAATGTCATTTTAAAAAGCTATTGAAAAGCTTATTCAGTACTAAACATTGCAGAATTCAAGAAACATGTCAGTATGGAGGGTTTAAGGTGTACAGTCCTGAATTCACATGTGTCTGATGGAATAGTTTGTCTTTCACCCAACGTAACAAAATACACTTTTGCCAAGTATTAATACTTTTTTAATTCCGTTAAAATGCAAACTGTTTTACTCTGTGTCCCTCGAAGAAATAATGAATGTTTTTCATTGTAATGCACCACAATGTTCCTCGCTACGCCCTCACTTATCTGGTTTGATTTTAAAGCACAGAAAACGGCAAAATACAATAATAAACCCCAGCAGGAATAGCGGACTAAATTTAAAATAATATACTCAGGCAAACCCTCATAGGAAACAATACCAATAGTTTCCGAATAATTGCTAGTTATTACTGACTGGAATACATTCAATGCTGCCTTAAGCAGTGCTCCTTTAAGGCTATATACCCCACACACACCCACTCCCACCTCATTGAAACTGTAATCTAATGGTTCTTAGGACAGAGTAATTACCATTGTGGTACTATGTCACAGATCCTTTAAAAAAAAAACTTTACATTTAAGCACACGGAGCGATCATTCACCGCGTCATCATTAACCACAATGTGTTGTACTCATACTTTTTAGCTTTAAACTCTTACTTTATTGTTCAGCGATGTACAGTTGGTCGTCGCCGAGTTTAATTGTAATTTTGTTCCTTTTGATTGTCCTGTACGTGACATGCTTATAGATTACGGCATTTATTCAACAATCCTGATATCTTAAAAAAAATCTAATATTGTTTATACTGTACCCAGGAGAAATAGGTACGTCTCTCTTGTCAATACTTTTTTAAAAATATGACAAATAATTATTTTCGAAAACATTATTTATATACATGTACCTATAAAATACATAACACAATGCATATTTACTACAGTACTAACTAGTTTATGAGTAGCCCATTGACAATTTGTAAAATACTTGCAGTTACAGTACATCTCTCAAGTGCTTAGAGCAATGACATAAGAAGTGTAACTACACTTATACTATACTATTTAAGAATAAACATCTTCATGCAAAATATATAGAAATGCATTAGAATCTGGTTGAACATAGAATCCTGTTAAATCATTTCAAGATTTTTAAAACAGTATTTTTATCTGATAAAAAGGTTTTAGACGAGTCTAAGAGTAACTTGTGCGGCACTTGAGATGGTTTTGGATTGCTAGAATTCATTCTGCGCAACAGCAGCAATGCTCGAAGAAAAATCCACACAATTTTTGTATCTCTACATTATTGTTGTTTTAAACTTCATATTGTGTGACCTTTTGGCAACTGAAGAATAAAAATGTGTAAATCTGGAATGTTTTTTCAATGCATATTAGCATACTGTACCTTTTGATTAGATTTAACCAATTGTACAATCTGATACGGCGAGAGACCTCCATTAATAAACACAAAGTAATATAAATATATATGGGATAGGCATTTAAAGGGGAGGTTTGACTGGACCTAAGTGCAGTATCTTCCAGCATTCAAAAATACTGGTGAAAAACTTAGCAAGCCTCTATTACTATGAAAACACCTCCTGAAAACCCTAAAGCTGCAATGGACCAAGTGTATGGTCTGAAAAGGCTGTTTCCAAGCTTAATATGGCAACGATTTAAATTGTTTTTCAATCTCAGTATTTGTTTAATCCGACGTGCCTTTCAGACAAACTTAATCAGTTCTGCACCATTAAGCCTTGTAAATAAGACATCCTGACACTTCTGCACTAAGTGCTAACCATTACCGAAAACATACTGCACATGACTCCATAACGCCGTTATTTTTCTTTCGCAGCTACAAACTGCGGTATATTAAATGCTTACTATGTTCGCATAATTAAAGGTGTGAGTACTGCTATCTAGAGCTCCAGTAGTAAGACTACTCGAGAGTTTTCGCTACAGTAAAACTACCTCCGGGGTTGATGGATAAGGACTGAATGATGCTGAGGCTGCAAACGCAAAAAAAGGAAGGCTTGCAAGAAACATGACGGGATTTCTGCTTTAAAAACATCTCATAAAAGCTGCTCCACACACACAAGGAAAAAAGTGATGAAAAGACAAAACTCACCTTAAACAGGGGATGTTGGGTGGGATCAAAGAGGAGGGTTTAGCGAAGGTGTGATATTGTTAAAACACAGACACAAGGGTTTGGAAGCGGGAGGGAAAACGGGGAGATAAAAATCAAAAGGGTAGAAGTAGTCAGTCAGTAAAAAATGTTCAGGGATAATGGATCTAAGAGTAAACGAAAATAATTATAATTATAATAAAAAAACGAGTTGGTTTGTTTTGTTTAAAAATATTACAGGAGTAATCCAAAGTCTTGCGTCGTCTGCTGAGAATATATATCCAGTAGCTCCTGCTGCTGACAAGAAAGCCCACGACAGAAGCAGTAGTAGAGACAGTGGTAGCCGTAGCAGAATAAAGGTAGAAAATGATGTTGCTGTCCAAGCCTGTGTTTGCTATTCCTGCTCTCCGTGCGTGTACTGTCGCTTTCTTCTCCCTTCTCACAAAAGTGGTCCAAAGCACCCAGCTGCATCTCCACGGCACAACACTACACGCTGACGTCACGGAGACCGAGAGCTGTGAACGGTGCAGCGCCTGTCAGCTACTTTTCTCCTCACACTGAAGCACCTTCCGGCCGCTGCATTCATAAAGCTTGCCTGGTAAAAACCAAGTGTGACTGGATATAGAAAAGGACGCCAGCAATGTAATTTCACAAAATGTTGTTCCTCCCCCTCCCCTCAACCTAGACTTCGGTGGTGCAGTGTAAAATAACTAGAAAATTGCAACCAAAAGAAGCAAAAAAAAAAATCTTCTCCACCTTGTAATTAGAAAGCGGATGGGATCTAACAGGAATCGATTAATTACAGATAATTAATTATTCATTTTCATAGGCTTTGTCCCCTGCCTTTTCCTCGCTCTAAGCGTGGCGATTTTCTCATTCTGTTCAGTCCTAAGACTTGAGTTCTAAAAATGTCAATGATAATGTATGTATCTATTTTTGCTTCCTATTTTTTACAGGGAGTAGTCATTAGAGAGATGGTTAGAAGCCTTTTTTTGCAGAAATGCCACTGTAACATACGTTCCTGCCAATAAATTGTCTATGTGTATGCATTTCCAACCTTCCCTGAGCGACTTTTTATATACCAGTGACTAATATTCTCCCAGCTATGTGAGAATATTTGTCATTGGTTAATTTATTTAGCTGTTTCTAAATCGAATTTCTTGGTACTTGCTGTAGTTCATCTTATTCTTCTATGCTAAATAACCTACTTTTCTAAGGCTTCAGATCACAAAACACTTGATCATTTTAAAGGAGGAAGAAATGATTATAGTGATTGAATAGAAAAATGAATGAATGCATGTATTCCTGCATCATTTCTATATATTTCGCATCGCACTATGGCAAAATTTCACAAAATTGCCCTGCCACACCATTCTTATTAACTACCCCGTTACCTCTGCCCCCCTCTGCTGGATTTCGGGTACTGTACATCTTTCCTTAGGATGAAGTATCTGGATTTCACCTGGGAAAACTGAGCACTGACTAAAATCCCTGTTATTGGAACAACCGTTTTGAAACAAGAAGTTTATTTTTTGTAATTCTGCTATTAAATAGTGGAATTATTTAAATAAGTAGTTGGTATTCTTACTACAGTACTAGTACATTTTGCATCGTTCTACAGTACAGTATATTGTTTGATCGTTCGAGACAACACAGTAATCATCGGTTGTCTTTGCAAACCTGAATTCAGTGTCGTACAAAAGTACTGAGCCCGCAGAATGCCTTTGTTCTATGCTAATGAATACTCAGTCAGCACTAACACAATTCATCACATTTCCTTACAGGTAAACTTCGAGGAACCTTTTCAGGGGTCATTTGCAATGCCACTCTGGTAGGTTGCATTTGATACAAGCAGAAGCAATGGAATATTCAAGAAGAATATATATTGAATGGAAGAACTATCTAAACAAAGTTATTATACGCATTCCTTTTCTTAATCTTTAACACACAACCACTTCACCTATGAACATTTAGAGTTTAGACTCCCAGAATTCATACAAGAAAATTAAACTTGGGAAGGATTGTTCATTTATTTGCTAGACATTAATTAACCACTCCATACTTACAGTAAGCAGTGCTTAAATCATACCACTGATTTAGCAGCTGCTAGAGTAAGACTTTGTAGTCTTCTCAGACTTTAGACTATGGGTTTTCAAACCTATTCCTGAAATTAAAATAATTTCTGAAAATCTCCATTGTATTTTGCTATATTTTGAAATACAGCAGACAATCATTCGTTAGAGAATGATGAGACAAATTTGTAGTCAGAAGCTTTGACATTTGGTGCCTGATATTGACTCAGTGTCTTAGTCTATGTCTTCCATATTGGTTTTATCCTGAAACAGTACTGTAACTGGCCACTTCACAATTCATCTTCTGGGGTGTTCTGCTGACTGGAGAGAAACCAGTCCTTTCAGAGGACTTTTCTCCCCACAATAACCTATATGTGTGTGAGAATGCACCAAGTCCCCATTTGCTTGTACAGCAGGTCTAGTAAGCTTTGTCTCAAATTACTTTCAGTCTCCTGTCTTCTATTTTGTGCATACTGCCCTACATCTGCAATACTGGGTATAGGTTACACAAGAATTCCCTTCAGGCCACACGTCAGCATCATCATTAGACAATGTTAGTTCTACCTTTTTTACTGCCATACTTACTGTATACCCTTGCTTTAATTTTAAGAATACTGAAGCAGACATTCTCATCCATCACATTTTACATTTTTCTGCTTGTGCTCTGTATTGCCAGTAGCTCTGTTGTGTTGTATATTCTTTTAATAATTTTACATAACAATAACAAAGCTTGTTTTTCTAAGGTTTTGCTCTTCAAATATAGTGATGATCCATCTGTCACAGGTGGATGACGATAATCTAATTCATTTATAAAAGGTGCAAACATGGTGATCTCAGGTCACAATTTAATGCAGTATCTGTTCAGTAGTGCATACTGTACCATTAACAGTAGCATGGGTCCTTTTGCTTCATCTGCTTAGCATTATGTGAATCAATTAGTTATTTTAAGGCATTTTTTTTTTCAAAAAAGTGCTAGGCATGGTTATGACTCAAGATGGGTGATAAATCTATTTAATTTATTAGAGTCAAAATTATAAAATAAATACAGAAATTATGAAAAATACAATTAAAACTTAAAATAAATGTAATGGTCATGTAATATTATTTATTTTAATTGGCAGCAGTATTGTTTCTTTTTAGCTTGATCTTGACAGACCTAAGAAGTTAAGCAAGGAGGCTGGGTCTCGTCAGTATGGTGACTGGGGACACTGTATTGCAAGTATTGATGAGATCTGAAAACTGAGGTCCTGACTGCCAATAAACTACTATACATAAAAAGGGTTCTCAGCGGATCCTGAAGGCTTACACACCTGCTAGTTTTGTTCTTACTAAGATCTCAACTATGCAATTGAACCACTTATTAACATAATAATTTGAACTCTTTTTACTGTTTTCAGGCTTTTAACCTGCTGGAGGTTGCATTTTAACTATTGTGTTTCACAAGTGAAATAAAATCAGAAACCTCTCAGTAGAAACAAACATTTGCACATGTTTGACTTAGTATAGTTACAGTAAGTTATTAGTCTCGGTTGCAATTAAATGTCTGGGCCTCCAGAACCAGGACTGGGAACCTCGCAAAACACTATCCCTCCCTCAAGGTGTTGCAGTTTCTTCCTTAGCCACTAAGTGCCGCTAAAAACCACTGTAGATTTATTTTTATAAGCACACTGTTACAGACCACAAATGAAGCTACAGTAGCTAACACAGCAGCTCCTGATAAGTGTCAGAGTGCATTTTATACTGTCAGTATCAGCTTCATCCAGTTCTCTGCCTAGTTGTGTTTCCAAACAAAGACACCTGGTGGCTTTTCAGATTACATTGGCTTTATTGACTCACATTTCAGCTCTGCATAATGTACCTGAAACATAATATATCATATTATAATATCTAATATTTCTAAAATGTACAGTGGGGAAAAAAGCAACTTGAAAACAACAGCTAACCGTCAAGCTTGAATATTCTATGTAACCCTGGTACATAAAAAAAACAGCTAAATTGAGATATACAGTACAATGATACATTTTACAATACCGAAGGTATCGAATATTAATAACAAAGGTAGTTGAAGTTAAAGCACATTTTCTGCATTTAAGATATATTGTTCATTTTGAGGGCAGCACGGCAGAGCAGTGATGAGCATTGGTCCCTAGCAGCACTGGGTTCAATCCTGCATAGAGTTTACAGTATACTGTATGTTCTGCCTGTGTTTGCTTGGCTTTGGGTGCTCTGGTTTTCTCCTACAGTCTGAAATCTGGAAGGTTAACTGGCTTCTGGGAAAATTGTCCCTAGGCATGGATGCATGCATCTCTGTGTCCATGTGTCTACCCTGCGGTGGACAATAATCTGCATATTTTGTGATGCCACCTGGGGTGGGTCGGAACAGGGCAATCATTTTAGGTTGGTCCCTGGCAAATAGACACACCCCAAACACAAGCTTTAAGCTTTAACTGTGAATTTTAATTACAAATGGGGGTTACACAGTCACCATCAAAACCAAACTAATATGAACTAAACAAAAGCCTAGCTGAGCTTTACTGCTTACTGACATCAATTTAAAAAAAGCTTTGGAGTCATACAGACTCCCAAAAGTCAAGCACAAACGATTTCTCCTTTGTTCTTGAGTTCTAGGTCTGGACCAGTTGTGCCCTCATAATTTGCAATAGACAAAATTAATTGCACTGCCTTTATTATGATGTTATTTTAGCCACACGTGTCTTGTCTTTATTAACATTTCTTACCTGGGCTTACTCTAAAAATGTTCTTTGGGCTGTTTTATTATTTTCTTATTCCAGTAAAGACAGAAACTTTGAGAGAATAGTAGAATGTGTTCAAGTATCACCGTAGGGTTGTACAGTTATTACTCACATTCATTTATTGTTAATATGGTTCATAGAACCTGGAGGTAAAGTGAAACATTCAGTTGAAGATTACAGTAAAATGTCAAGTTTAATTGTCTGTTGGAGAAAATTTGCTCTGTGGATGCTGCTCCGTTGCACAGAGCAAGGGTCAGTGGGTAGTCTGGTAAAGAAAGAGCTCACAGCCCTTGCTCAATAAATTCTTTGTTCTTGTGTCAAAGGCAAGTTTAAATTTTGTCACAAATTTGTCCATGCTTCCTTTTACCATGAGGGTTGGGTATGTGCTTAGAGTGCTGGTGACAACTACATTTATTAGTTGACACACTACATTCTAAAGACACAGGATAGATGGAATAGGTGCAAGTGTAGCACTATATATGTAAAAGGACTTTTTGAAATGTGAAAGTTGAACTAAATGAATCAAGGGTCTTAGAATCTACAGTATATGGATCAAATTAAAAAATCATTCAAAGAGCATAGAATTAGAAGCAATCTATAGACTTCCTAATTCTGATATTATTTATAAAGCAGTCTTATACTGTATAATTAAATCAGGGATGTATTTCCAAAGGCAAAAGTGGTTATAATAGGCAATGTTAATTTCACTCATACTGATTGGGGAAAACCATCAAGGATGCTACTAAAAGTGTTAGTAGCATAGGCTTGTTGGTCGCAAAAGTGTTAG